CTCTTGAAAAGGGGTCGGCGGCACCCGGGCGAAGCCCTTACAATATACATATATGGAGAGAGAGAGGAGAGAGAGAGAGAGGGCAATTTTGCAGGTGCGTTTAAGTTTTTCTTTTGATGTTGCACTTGATCATCTGAGATGTGTAAAGTCTTACATACTGTAACTATTCCTTTATTAAGTCTATCTATATAGATAAAGTAAATCCTGTCCTAACAAATTTCAACAGAAAACAAGTTTGAGAATCGGTCGTTTGAGAACATCCTTCATTTCCTTCCTTCATAAGGTTGATAGTTCCACTCAGGAACGAAACGTTATCAAGCAAGCATCCTTGGAGGTATAAGGATATGGTTCCTTCTAACAACTGGATTGGATATGCTTATTCAAATGGTATCTTTAAAAACCAATAGTGGAACTAATAAAAAAAGTAGTGGAACATAACATACAGGTCAAGAAAACTTAGCGGTATTCAACTTATCAAGATTGTTAGAATGCAAATATGTCTTGAAATACACTTCGAGGACAATAGTTGGCACCAATCAACAATAGGAGCAGCTAAATCAGCCTGAAACAAATCAATTTATATATATATATAGTGTATGGGAACACCTGAAGAACCACAAGAGGAGTCCAATAATACTCGAGGAAACAAGTCAAAGATTACGAAAGGAAGGCTCGTCAAAAGAGAATAGCAAATCAAGATCACTAGGAAACAATGCATTGTACGCTGTACAGGATTTTTGACAAACCAACAGGTCAAGGGAAGTTTGGGGGCTTAACAAGAACCTACTAGGAACAAAGGGCGACGCTACTAGTAGCAAGAACGCTACTAGTAGCTCCTGGCATCGCTACTAGTAACAAGGGCATCGCTTAACACATGAAGACATATCAATCTCCTTAAAGGACCGCTATGTCTCAGAGATCTTGGACTGGGGAGGGCGGCCTGAATAAAGACGATAAATGAAAAACAAACAGAAAAAAGGTTCTCCATGTTCCCCTCAGGCACCTGTAATAAAGAATATCAAAAAATACAGTAGTAGATGGTGTCCTCGGAATTGTTCCACTTAGCAAAAGTTCGTGCCTTCCATGTGATATGTAGCATCAAATAGAATTGCTCAGCAACAGTTCTGGAAATCTCCATGAAGGCTAACCTGTCTTTGACCACGTACACCTCTAAGTTTATATCTAATTATATCCTTCAAATTAGGACATAACTTGCCATGCACGAAAAGATTTGCAATAGTTATATGAAACCTGTATATATATAGTTTGTATTTATACATTTATTTGTTATATGTTTTGTAATATATTGTTACATATTATATATATGTATATTTAACCAAATCAACTCGGCCACATCCTTTCACACGCGCTAGTGGTCCTGGTGATCCCACAACTGACGCCCGACTCTCCCCCAGTCGGGGCCCCAACTTGCACGAGCTGCACGTCTGGCCATCGCGAGCTGCAGATGTCACAGAACGCTGAGGTTGGGTGCGTTAGGCTCACTTGGTTCACTCAGTTTGGGACAGACCGAATCACCACACACGTCAGAGCTGGTGGAACTACAGTAAGCGCCGATGAAAATGGACAGGTCGCTTTTGGAAGATGGATGAAGTCTGTTGTAGTGCTGATTTAAGCTGCCAGGTCAGATATACCACTTCTGTGCAACCCCGCAGCTGGCGTTCCACTGTTGGAGATTGTTTGCTGCGGATTGTTTTGCTTTGGCAGCCAAGTTCCGGGTGCCACAAATCAGCCAAAGAAACCTGCAGACGGCGCTGATGCAATATATAGAGGACGATCATCTCGATGTGGGGCAAATTTCGCTCCAAAAGTGGATCAAGGATGGTTCGACCTTCCTGTGTTTCTAGTAGATGGTTGTCTTCCTTCGGCCTGCTTCGTGTAACCTAAACTGCAGTTTGCAAGTGCAAGAAAAATGGTCTGTGCAAGCCAAGAGTATATCAAGTCCAGATGTCCATGTGTCTTGCCAGTTCGGAACCTGTGGTGTGTCTTGCCAATCTTTGACGAATCCAACACTCTGGTTCCCATTGGTTCCCATTGCCTGGCTTGATCCAGTTTCCAGTTCAGTACAGCTTGACAGCTGCGAACAAGATCATGCCTTTCGTTTGGCCCTGTGACGGGGGGATCAAAGCTCTAGCCAGACGCATTAGCTGGGATGTGCTCATCAGGTAGGTAAGCGGTTCTTCGAAGAGAAGAAACCTATGTGGTTTGCAGATCCGGGATCGACTGGTCATTGGGTCTGTGCTTCTGTAAACAAACAAACATGCGTTATACATGGGGAACAAATACAATACATTACAATACCAAAAATGCCAACGAATGGCTGCAAGATTTGCAGCCAGGTCTTGCTTCTGAATGTGCAACATCTTCATCTATACATTGTGAACATGTACTGCATGATTATCTATGTTGTGTTTGTTCTTGATGAACCTATCAATTCGCCCGCAAGAACATGCAGACGAGCACGTTCTAACATGACCCGATGCCGTTTCCGTTCGATCCAGGGTACCGTTCCTGCTCCACTGTGGGGTCAGTCATCCAAAGGTGGAAACATCGTTTGCCCGTTGGCCCAAACCACGCCGTCGCTCCAGTTGTGTTGTTGCTAACTAGCTAGGAATCTTGGTTGAAAACTGGATCGTGGCACTTCCGGATACCTGGATCGTGGCCGAAATGTACGTTCTTAAGCATGTTCCAAGAACCTTCAATGGACTGGTTGTGACTCAACGGTTGTGACCAGGAAGTTCACCGGTTGTGCACACGTCCTCTTCGCGAAGCCAGAAGGGAGGGGTGTTTTTGGAGGTCTCCAGGTGCTCGTAGAGGGAGACACACCGATCCATTGGGCCATCGGGCCGGTCTCCCTAGGCCCCCCTTGACACACCCAGAGCATGGAAGAAGCAAAGGTAAGGCCACCCCTTTAAGGCCTTATTCGAGGCTGACCTCCTTTCTTTCCCCCTCTTTTTGTTTTAATGTATGGTTCAATAGTAAATGACCCAGGACCATTGCCACATGTCAAGCAATGTCAAGCATCCTCCTTTTCATCCTCGCCCGCGAGTTCTGCGGCCGCCCCCGCGGGACTCGTGCGGCCGCGCTGAATCGCGTGCGTCGCCGGTCCAGGTGAGTAAGTCGACCCAACGACGACCGTTGAGGAAACGAAGCTCACTGCTCCACTCGAGGCCTCGATGAACGTGGAAAGAAACAAGAGGTCTTCAGAAGGCAAGAAGGGCAAGTGGCGCAAGACCCCACAAATCTCTAGCAGTCTTTCACCACATTTATTCCTGTCTTCCGAGAGTACACCCCAGCCGGTTCTCCGAGGACTTGCCTTGAGATGAAACAGAAACAGTTCTCGGAGACTGAAAATACCACATGGTTTGCCATGCAACGAGAGAAGAACTGACTGCTCATTGCTGGAATCAGCAGGGAACACCCTTAGAAAAAGGGCCACCTTGTTCAATCGCGGACACCATCCTGTGCTGGGGGATTGTGTGCAGCCAAGTTTGATGAAACTAAGGATTCTGACTAACATGGTTGAAATGTCACGATGCAAAGCACTCAAAAACAAGAACTGAAAGCTGCAAAAACATGTTGCGGTAAATCTCCCGAGCCTAACGTTGCAGCTTTCAACCAGTGCACCCAACAGGACCTGCCACAGCCAGCCAACCCATGCCGATCCAGTCCCCCCCGGGCCTGTGTGAGTGCGGAAGGCCTCGGGAAAAGCCGTAAGGCCTCAGAGGAGGAGCCGTGATCCTCCGCACCTGGAGAGCCAAATGATACCAATTCACCACTAGGATTCCACAAGCTGAGCTGTTTCTGTCTGAAGAGCATTCCAGTTCCAACTCTGGCGTTTATTTCTACAAACAATGCAATCCCTGCAAATCTGATTAGTGTTGATATGGATTGATTTGTTATAACTTGTCACCAACCAACCCAAGCACCATTTTAGCAGGCCCCTGGCCATTCCCGTTCACAATGAGTCTTCTCCAGGTGGCAGTAGACGCCTCGCCACTCGGCGCGCTGCTGGCGAAGCACCCGGCCAAGCCTGAAAGCACCGATGCAAAACCAGTCAGCGGGAGCCAACCGGATGTTATTGGAAGATGTTGGGCGGTCTATCATCTATAGTCTGCCCAAGCCCAAATGTACACCGAATAAACTTTTCCATGACTCATATACGTTGGGCAGTGGCTATGGTTTGTGCAATGTTACATCATTGTGGAATTATACATTACACTTTGTTGCTGATTTGATGAGAGTTGATGGGAACCAAGTCGCTCAACCCAGGCCGCACCCCGGCCGCTGCCAGGTGTGTGGCCATACTAATAGCCCTCAAGACCCCATTGTTCACATGGCACTGTGTTGCTCCTGCACTATAGATAGGATCTTCAAGAACAGGGGTTTGATTGCATGCGATTGTCTGAAGTTGCCAGATGGTGCTGGAGCTGGTTCATGAACAAGGATCGAACCGAGAAGGAGGTGTCTGGCCCATGGACAATGGAGTCGTATGGCATGCGTTTAGATTTCTTACGGCTACATCCATCAGGACCGGCAGGTGTATCTCCTGGTACAATCCTGGCATCAAGGTGGTTCGGAAAGCCACCAACACTCGAACTTCCGGCATGCTCAAACACAATCAAACAAACATATGCCACTCTTGTGTCTGCTCGCCTTAGTTCCCTGGTCGAGCTGATCCCTCTGGGCCACCCTGACTGGCTATAAGTCTCACTCGCACCAGGTAGCCCTGCCTCCAAATCCTGGACCGTGGAGCTGGGCGGAACTGCTGGGAGCTGGGCACGTTCGCAACCCACTGGGAGGTTTGAAAATCGCAGAGGCAAAAGTAGATGCAAGCAGAAGCCTGAGATCTTCTTTACAAAGGGGTGGGAGGAGTCGAGCAAAAACAAACATTCCCAATGTAACTCCTCAGAGATGTCGCAAGCATGCATAGAGCACGTTTAGCCCAGGAAATACGATTGCTCTATCGTGTCTTGTCGTTGTCATCCATCTTTCGCTGTGCAACTATCATAAATATCATTGCTGTCATCACGTGGCCTATGCCGCTCGCATATAGTCTACTGCAGTGCCTCAGGCATGACAGCTTAGTCTTGCTTAGTCACGAATGGGATGCTCCTGCTTGCCCCCGCTCTCAAGGCCGAAGGGCACATTCGTCACGATCCTCAGTCCACAGAATCAGCAGTGCTGCAGTGGTCCTTGAGATACAGGGTGTCCAAAAGGTGAAACCGAGTGCCACATGGTCATGCCAGCAAGGTGATACGTGTACATCCGACGGCCGACGGTGGCCTGGAACAAAAACATCATCGTCATAGCTGAGATTTCTTGGTTTGACCTGTAGCTTCCCCCGCATCGCATGCACATGTTTGCATGCGCATGTTACACCGGGGTGCGCATGTTACACCCCAATTTGGCCCTCTTAGTCCTGGTTCTTGGGGATGGCACAGGGTTTAGGGTGCCATGTTACACCCATTTGGCCCGGGATGTCTCATTCAGCCACGCGTCTCATTCCCAATAGCGAAGTGCTACAACTGGTGCGGAACATGTATTCACCAAGCCAAGGTGCGTGTCTTGGAGAGAACTCATGCCAGTCTGACCAAGAGACCAAGATGGAATACTGTAGTTGTGACCTGTTGAGAACTTTTGGAACTTTAGGAACTTTATAGCAACTACTGTTCAATTGAAAAGCGTGGAGTATTGCATACTTGGATGAAACTCGCACGAAGGAACGGAGTGGCCCAAGCTATGTACTTCCTGTGAGCAATCAGTTCTATCACCTGCACCTTTTGTGGGAACAGCTTTCAGCGGCTTCGACTACTCTGCCCTCAACAGCTGCGCCCAAGCTGCATGGTCGGCCGGCCTGGGAAGGCGCTCCGAAGATGTTTTAAGGGCCGGCCAGCGGCCAGTCTTCCTTTGCCTGTGACCCTGAAAGTCAAGGTTTCCCTTGACAGAAACGGTTGGTTTGCCCGAAGCCTTGCAAACCATCTTTGGTTTCACAGTTGTGGGCTGCTCTTGTTGTGTCCATTTTCGGGTATTTCATTCGAGGGTTCTGAGAGTGGACTCAGAAGTTACAAAAGGTCTCGAGAATGGCCCAACCATGTCTGTTTACATGGTTACGTTGCAGTTGAAACCCCTGGCCCAACTCAGCAAACATCACAAAGAGAAAACCCTACCATCACTTCTTCCATCAATCCCAAATCAATCAATCGACGATATCTACCCCTGCCAACACCTCGGCAAGCATCATCGTCGTCATCGTCATCATCATCTTCACCATCTTCATAACCTTGAATGATTCTCCTCGTACCGCAGCGTCCCCCCAAGAATCCCCCCGTTTAAAAGAAAAGGTAATCACTACTGAAATATACTGAAATAGTTAGGGTGTAGTATGGTATATAGAATCAATTTATTCTGCCTGTTTCATTCATCCTCTTTCTGCCCACCAGGCACCTTGGAGCCGCTGCAAGACCTTCGAGAAGTTGCCTTGCAGAAGTTGCACACGGCAGGGCAAAGCTTCCAACAGCTCTTCCACTGAAGCCTGGGGCGTGGGAAACCCACAAACGGTGCGACACTCGAAAAATAGATCTCCAGGCACACACATGAGCCCTGCAAATGGATTTTAATAAGGCAAGAATCCTGGCTGTACTGTACTGGTTACATGTTCCAAGAAATTCTTTATGACGATTCCAACTCGCGTCGCCTTGGCCGAGAACTCGCGCGACTCGCGAAGCACGTTCAAACGCCGCAGGCAGCGCCGCAGGTTTTGCCTCGCCCGTTGGATCTGCTCCTCGCCGTGGGGTGAAGAGAGCTGAGAGTTCACGGACTTAGAGCCTTGGTTCCTACTGCGCAGGTCCCAAACACCAAGGCTTTCCGGCATCCAAATCTAGCCATCAAAGGAAAAGATCATCCACAAGAAAGCTGAAGAACCCCTGATCATCTTGTGCAACCATGTGCTACCTACCGTCTTCCGACCTGTTTTTCATGGACAACCTACCGTTTACCGACACATACTTCACATAGAGTCCCAACACATGTAAGCGACGCAACACCTCCCGACTTCGGCGCCTGGAAGCGACGCAACAAGCAACCCCTTCCCACCTCGGACTGGTCACTGCTGAGCAACCTCAACGGTCACGGCCAGGTGTTCCATCCGTGGCTTCGAACAGCAAATGGCAGTAAAGCTTGTGTCTCTATGTTGTAGTAGAATTGCAGATCCAGGACTCACCGACCCCAATGTGACTTCTGCTGGTTTCGATGCTCTCAGTTTCATCCTTTCCCGGGTGTTTCAGACAAAGCTTACGTACCATCATCAGGGCCCCCCTTCACAACGGCACACCGGCACACGGCACCAGTCTCCCTGGAATCAAAATCAACATGACAAATGGTATACAAAACCCTATTGTTTGCATATAAGTAAGCATGTATATGTGTTCTTTAGATGTTATACTGTATATCTGTACATATATATATATATATCCTGCTTTCTTTCGTACTATAACAATATAGTATAATGACACATGATGTTTTAAGCCATCCACTGTTGGATGCTTTCATTCAGCCACCGAACCCACCGCGAAACCACCCAACCCAACTGCTTCAAGCAGCGTCAAGGCTCCGAGGGCTCCATGAGGCGTCGGCTCGAGCTCCCGCGCCACGCGCTCGAAGTCCTGGGGCGATGCAGCGGCCGGTTCTGCCGGTTCTTTAGTTGTTTTGATTTGTGAACAAGAAGGGTGTTCTACTGTTTTCTACATGTCATTTCTTCTTTCTTGGTCTTTAAGTCTTGAACGATTCGGAGGATGTTTGGGGGCTGGTTGAAGTCCTTCGCGAGCGTTGTGGGCTTTTTGAGGGGGAGGACTGGATCCAAAAATCATGTTGTGAATGCTTGACGGTCGGGGGGGCGTCCACTTGACTTGGGAAATCGGAATGAACCTGTTTAGCGCCAAGAATATCTGAGGTGCAGAACGGCAACAAGCATGCCCGCACAGTGCACTAGTTTGACATATGTGACTGTTGCAAACCCAAACTGACTGAGTTGGATCGTCTGCTGGAGATTACTTTCCAGGATTGCAACATATTGCAACACATTTTAGTTTCGTGTGAAAAAGCCGACAGCACTTTGTGAGGATGACTTGGGATAATTACGATCCTCTTATACAAAAACCACCCAAGGTAGAAAAACAAAACCAACCGTTCCGTCCAGTCTTCTCTCCCAATCCGAAGCGTTCGGTTGAACCGAAAGAGAACCGGTTCATGGAGGGGGGATGGTGGTTGAACCGAAATGGGAAAAAACGATCCAACTTCCCAGGAAGCGTTTTTTTTTCATGACCCTCCACGTCGTGATGGCGACGGCACCGCTTCGACAGCGGCGGGCAAAATCAGAGATGGCAAAAACAACGCCCTTTGCGAGAGTGTAGGGAAGTCAGTCCTCGGCATCATGACATGGAAAGGACTTGAAGGGGTAGGACTTCGAATGGTTCCCCGTTGGTTGGCCAAGCACCACCTCCAAAGCCTCCAGCAAGATTGCCTCAGCAACACAGTAAACCCGTCTCAAGGGCAGGTTCTTGGAGCACTGGGGCCGCACCACCGGTTGCAGTTTGTCGATGTTCCAACTTGCTTCTCATGAAACATGTTAGCCTTCAGATAGAGAAAGACATGTTGCGTTTTTGCGGGTAGCTTAGCCAAGAAGTAGGAGGGCTTGAAACCACACATTAAACCAGCAGTGCAGGCTGCAACTGTTGAACTTCCAGTTTAGGTGCGCACCTCCTCGATAGATCATTTTGCAACATTAGAACTACAACCATCCATCGTATGGCATTGTTGCTCTGACACAATGCCAGACGCTCAAGGGTAAGAAAACGAAGCCAGTCGAACATGCAACATTCCGCACAAAGCCCATTTAGTGCAGTTCCTTTAAGCCACCCACCAGCAAGTTTGCTTAAGCTCGTTGACACTACCGACATTATAAAGCCACCTGTCAAGACTATGAAGACTGTCTGCAGCTAGGTGGATTTGCATAGTCTTCAGCCACACCGTTGAATAGAATGGATGGGCTGGATGGGTGTGGATGGGTGGAATGATCTGGCACCTCCACCAATTCACTCCAAGAATTCGCCCGTGGACCACATGTTTTGGCCATTCCCTCTGGCGAAACTGAACACGCGTTCGTCCTAGAAAGGTCGCCCAAAGCATATCAAAGCGTAATATCTTCTGAGACCCAAACCCTTACCACTCTCCAGGCCTTCCCCAAAAAAGAAGGCCAATCCGTCCCGATCTCGCTGCGGATCATGTGCAACTGGGCGGCTCCCGAGCCGCAAAAGGGATCCCAGAACACGAGTTCCTCACCCTGATGCGCCGCTTGCGTCAGCCGCCGCTGCAACGGAGACGCCAAGACCTGCGGAGCACGGAGGACGCGGTCTCCGCGGTTTCGCAAGAAAGAGAGGGCTGTGGAGGGCTGAAATCCCTGTGCTTCAATGGCGATGTGCGATTCCTCACGGGAAGTACTTTTCAAAGGGACCATCCGGTAATCCAGCAGCGGTTTGTCCAAGTGGTTCTGTTCGGTGAACAAAGGAAACGGAGCAGTGCCTCAGTATCTGCTGGAGGTTCGTTGGGGAAAGGAAGTATGTTCAATGAGGAAAGGAAAAGGTATTATCAATGAGAGATCACACCAAAACACAGTCGCCTGACCTTTTTCACAGTCTTTCCTTCTGTTCTGTTCATATGAACCTGGGACCTTGTAAGCAAAGGCAATGACGGTCTATCCCATTCTCCACGCCGAGCCACGCAAGCTGCGGCCAAGGTCTCCCGCATGGAAGCTTCACCCACTGCCTCGCCAGCGTGGCTTTGAGGGCCATGGAGCAAGGGCCTCGTCCTGGTGTTCATGCAGGGTTAGAAACCAGATCTTTGCCAGCATGTAACCAGCATGTATCAAGGCGTTTGCGGCGGTGCGCGCATGTTGAATATCATTTTGTTAAGTCAAGGTCGGTACCAACCAATAAAAACTGAATGATCCACTGGCTTCTGCCAATGACCATCATGGCAAAACCACCAGGCCCAAGAATGTAGTTCTAAAGTTGCACGAACGTGTCACAAATTCACTTGGTATCTGCCACAATGGATACGTTACAGTAGTGTCCAAAATGAAGCAGCTGTACACACCTTCATCGAGGGCCAATGATGATTGAAAGTTTCATTAGGTCATTAGGTGTCTTGTGAATCATGTATGCAGGTGCTGGGTGATCTGCAAGCTCCACGTCCAATCAAAGGGAGAATAAACCTACACGCCCCTACCAACATCCCAAGACCTCATAGCACTTGCAACGTCGTGTTCAAATCAATCCTGGAATGGGTGTGCATCTGAATAGGGAAACCCCCAAGGCCTTTTATCCGCTTACGCAGGCCTAGCCTACACCCAGGCAGGGCGGCGACTGAGATAATTACTGAAAGCAGCAACTTAGGCGGAGGGTTTCGGTGGATGGCTTTCGCAAGGCTTCCAAGCTATCATGGGGCCTGCCATGCATCACATTCGTGACTCTCAAAGCTGGCATTTGCCATCCGAATCATACTCAGCTGAGCCCTTTTGCGGGGTGGCTGGCGCCGCGGCGGAACTCCGAGCTGTCATGTGGCATGCAGCCGTGCAGCACCTTCTCTACAAAAAGGGAGCCGCCACCAGGGCTTTAACCCATTCTATATATATATAGAAAGAACACACAACCATTGGTTCTCAATTCTAAGTGCACATCCATATGAACTCCTGCTAGTCAACACCCAAACCCAGGAACTGCGTGGCCATCACATATGAATCAGTCAATCATGACTTGAATTCTTCGGCCTCGATCAAGACCCCGAGATCGACCGATCTGCCTTGACTCCAAGAACTCAACTTTTAGCAGCAGCCATCTCAGATCCCCCCCATTTTCGTCGCGTCTTGGGCCTTGCGAGCACCGCGCTTGTGCAAAAGCCCCGAGGCTGCCACACTGACCTGGTCGTAAGACAGAGACCCGTGGAACGGCAAGGCAGGAGAACCGTTATATATATATATACACCGAAAGTCCTTGCAAGATTGGTCATGGGGTTAGGCGAGAGGGATGACACCAAGGCCAAAGAAATCAGGCTGGCCGGATTCAATCCATAAAATTGATGTGAGATACTCCAATTCTCAGACTATTCACACGGAAAGGCTGAACAAAAAAGAATTATCTCTTTAACCTGAAAGACTCCACGGTCGCGCTCTGTGACGCAACAAACAATAACATCCTGATGATCCTCATAATCCAGAAGAACCCTTAAAAACGTTGACAGTGAAGAAACTGTGAGACAGCAACCACCCATAAGACGGATGGGAAGGGGATGGATTGAAAACGTATCTGCACTCCCACAAATTCACTGCCTCGTCACGCCGGAGCAAAAAATACAAAAAAAACTTGAAGCAAACTCATCGCAAAGCAACTCACCTGTTGTGACCACTCCAGGGATGCAAAACCTCGTCCCCTTCCCAGCTGTTGGTTCCCAATCCGGGGCACCTGAGCCTCATTGTGCCTTAACCTCAGTCTGACCTCTGGCAACTCGTCTGCAGGTGACTCTGCGTCATTCGCCTTAAACAGAACGAATCGGAACACGACTCTCAAGGATGCTCCTCTGCACATCAGTTCACCTCTCCTTAGCCTTTGGGTATCATGGATCCTCCACTACTGAGCACTACAAGTATGGGGGGGGCCTTAGGAGAAGAAAGCCATCCAAGAAACTGAAACCTAAGGAGCTGCTTCGAAGCGACTTAAGGCTGATGATGGCAGCTTGGAGTGCCCCAGGTAACAAGATGTTGTTTGATTGATCCTTCTAAGATGTGTATATGTGGTATGTTTGCTTGCTCTTTTTCCTGTCTATTGCTGGCGCACTGATTGATTGGAAAGATCAGGGAAAGGCTTCTTGCGGCAACTCACATGCCAAGAAACTGGAACATTGGTTGACTTCCACTTGAAAGAAGTACACTGCCGAGTTGATCATGTGGAAAAGTCATAGAAAACAAAATAAACCTTCACATTGTGTCACCTCTTACCTCCTGCCATCACGTCACACCGGTCATCACGTCACACCGGTCTCACCGATGTGTTTTTCGCGTCTATTTTTCCGTGTCCGGCCTGGGTTCCGGGGATGGATGCAGCCACATGCTCAGCCAAGAGCTTGGTGTGGTAAAGTCGGGATTTCTCCTTCGGTGACGCGAGGATTCGCTGTGATGAGGAGTGGGAACCCGCCATGAGACTGGAAATATCGAAGGACGTCCTTGTGACTGCCGCTTCAAACATGAGTGGGTCAACCTCCTGGTGGGGCTGGCATTGGGGAGGTTTGATTCAGGTCTTGTAGTGAAGCCTTCAAACATGTGTAATTTCGCAAAGGAAGAACGTTCAATTTGGTCAAGCGATTTATTGACTAATTGCAAATTACCCACATTCCAGATTTACCAGAACATGCCTGGGAAAACAAGATGGAACCCACGAACCCGAATGCAAATACGTTCGAAAAACTACATATGTCCAAACGACACTCTTGTAGGACACTCTTGTGGGACACTCTT